TTGTCGAACCGATCGCTGTGACACAAGCTCCACCATTTTTATTTGGAGGTTTTGAATTCTAGTGTGCCACTTATTGGAGTGCCACTTGAATTCTGGGGTGTCATTCAATATTTCTCTGATCTTGAAAATCATCATCCATTCATGGAACTGGCTGCCTACTGCATCACTTGTCTACTTTGACCTGTCCTCAATGCATTCTTGGAGCGAATGTTTTCACAAGTCACTTATGTGAAAAACAAGCAACGAAATAAAATTTCAACTAAGGTACTGGAGTCTCTTAATCGGACCAAAAGCTATCTGCTCAACCGCAACAAGTGATCACACCCGAAATGTTAGATTAATGCAATATGCAAGCATGAACGAAAATAAGCATAAGGTAGATGACCTGTTTCCGTGGCTTGCTCATGTTGAGCGAAGGGGAAGAAGTGCCATACAGTGATAAAAAGGAAAAAGTGTCAATGTAATCAAACACAGGAAAAGAAAAGTGTCAAAATGTACCAAACAGAGGGAAACAATATAACGTGTTAAAATTGACTAATTATCGTCAAGCCAGATAACTGCACAGTATGTACGATAATTTTTTTTCTTTTTCTAACCAACTTTTCTGACGAATAGTGTCATTAAATTTGTAGGTATTAGTCTGTTTTTGAACAATAGAATTTCTGGTATTCTGAGCTACGCAATCTGGTATTTTCGCCGAGAAGTAACCTGGCAACACTGCTCCCAGATGCAATACTTAGTCTCCCAGAAGCAGTCATAGGGTAGTGTTAAGCAGCTCCATCGCTCATGACTAAATGCAGTCCTGAAATTCTCCCGCCCTACGTCACTTGAATGCCGATGTTTGTCCTCTCACTTGAGATAAACCTGCCCGACAAAAAGATCTGATGACCGTAAGCTTGATAATTTTCAACAACGAAGGCTCGGCAGATGAATTGTTACAGTCTTTATCACTTGAAAAACTAGCGACTCGTTGATTGATAGATAGGAACGCAGAACGTTCGCTTTAGGGTTATGTGTTTTCGATTGTGTTTTTCGCTACCAAAGCGCTGCATCACCAATAGAGGAAATTTTTTTTTTAGATAACTACAGAAAACTGTCACACCAGCACACACTTGAATTATACAACTTCTTTCAAAATCCACACACGTGGTAGTGAATTTTTCGAAGCATTTGCGAACGTGGAGAACTTAGCACCGACTTTATTTGAGATTAAATAGCTTTCTATTTTTATTACAGATTAAGAATCTTAAGACTGCGGCACTACGTAAATATCTATTTTCGAATAACCGTCAAGATGGCTTAAAGAGGGATTATTTATGAATTAATAATATTTTCCAGTTCTGATAGGTTCTTATTGCTACTCAATTTGTTACATGGTAAAAGCAGCCAATGTGACGATATATGTAATGAAATACTAGTGGCTTTTTGTTTCATTACACACGTGTTCCTTTGAAGATAGTAATGAATATGAGCGACGCATACGTAATTCAATTGCCCAATTGGATATTACCAAGATTAGTAGTCCAATTTATTCAGGTATAACTACGTATTACACTTGAGAAACACTGCGACTCTAAGCTGCGTATGCCCGGGTGGTGTAATGGATCAAGGCACAGGATGACAGCACTCTTGCAACCGACTACCTCCTGGGCACGGGTTCCATCCTCGGTCGGTGACTTCATAGTTTCTTTGAACGCTATCGCTTCAGGTATGAGTATCCAATGTTAATTCATTCAAAACGAAATATTGGCATGTATAGAAAACTGAATGAAAATATGTATGTGGATGAGTAAAGGGTGGACGAGGAGAATTCGATGAAATCGCAAAACATTAAAGGGGCTGACAAGCCCTATTCGGGCCGTCTTCTCTCTGAAACCATTACGAATTTTTTGCATCCGATAAAAACTTCTATAGTTTGTGAAAGTCACCCCTACACGGTGACGACCTTCCCAGGGGGCACATCAGTTAATCGTTCATGGCTTGTGGCTTACCTAAGTTACCTATCTATTGTGAATGGATAATGGATAACTCCACCGTCCTTACGGAGTGAAGTGACAAACTCGTGAGTAGAAGAGGCTGAGTGTTGGAGGTTCCATCACGCCTGTAACTTCAATGGATTCTCAGTGTACTGTTCAGACGCGTGAGTTGCTTTCAATTATTGTTCAATTGACGAGGCCGCAGAGGGCCTGATGTTCAGGATCTGCACGTGGTGGAGCTGGCGAAGGTTGTTCAACCTGTCGCTACTGAAAGGAAAGAGTTCCAGCATTTGATGTTGACTTTGAAGATGGTACATAGTACATACCATCTAACGTCCTGTCAAGAATTTGAAGACTTCCATGAAGATTCCTTGATGAAAACATTGTGACCGAGGTGATTTTGCTAATATTGGTGAACTTACTCAAGAGTTGAATTTGTCGAAAAAAAAAAGTTGTTAATGGTGAATTTACTGATGGTAAATTCATCGGTCGTGAATTTATTGATTGATTTATTCAAGTGTAGGTGTGCATTTATTGATTTAGGTGTGCATTTGATGTAGGTGTGCATTTATTGATACATGTGTGCATTTATTGATGTAGGTGTGTGAATTTCGTTGCAGCTATGGTGTTAGTATTTTGTACGTGGATTTTAACGTAGGGATGATTTTGATCTTTGCAAATTTGTGTAGGAAGACCGTGATCCCGAAATTTTATTACTTGCAGTGAACTAATTATCGTTGCAGTTGTTACCTCTATTGCAATTGTCAAATTTTATATTGGTGAATCACTATGGCCACGGTGTCATCAATTGTATTGTTGCACTTACCGAAGAGGCTTCTGCCTTAGGAATTACCGGAGACGACGTTTCTGTATGTGTACGCGAGCAGCAGGCTTTAATTAGGGACAAGAGAGGGAACTAGAGAAGTTGAGGATAGAGACCGAGCAGAAAGATAAAGAACGTGAACACGAGCTTGAGATGCTAGACTTCAGATCTGCCCCAGTTTCCAACGTCTCGGCGTCTGATGCAGTTGCTTGACCTAAGTTCCCGTTCATAAAGCTGTTTTAGACATTTCATCCTATTCGTTCAGATTTGAAAGAATTGCTGAGCTATTAAACGTACCACGTAGCTCTTTTGCTATTCATTTAGGAAGTTTATTAACTAGCAGAGCCGTTAAAATGTATGCAGCATTAACAGCAGAAGTGACAGGTGATTACTATTCATTGAAGCGCGCATTGCTAGTTGGGTTTAACCGCACACCCGAGAACTACCGCCAAGAGTTCAGGTCAATGAAAATAAAGCCGGATGAAACCTACGCTCAATTTCTTATTCAGTTAAGACGCAGCTTTGATTTTTGGACATTCTAAAGAAGTGCCCATAGCTTGTGACGCTCTTCGCAGTTTGTTCTACTAGATCAGTTTCTTGCCTCTATCACAATGATTTGAGATTGTACCTGCATGAAGGAACATAATTTGAATGACTTGAATAAAGTGGTAAAATTAGCAGACAACTGGGCAAGCGCCCATAATGCATATACGAAAGCAAGAGGGACCAAAAATTTCAATGCTGAACCCAGTGTTCAAGTGAAACAAAGCCCTCCTAGTCCGTCCTCGCACCAGTCACGTAATTGGTCAAAGGTCAAGTGTCATGCGTGTGGCCAATTAGGTCACCCTAAAATCAAATGCCCTCGAAACCCGTCTTCATTTAGAAGTCACGTACAAAGGAAGGATAGTGCAAGAAATGCCAAAATTGATTTTTGTTTGAACGATGAAATATTTTCTAAATTCATGACTTGTGGTACTGTTAAACGAGTGCCAATGTATTCACTATGTTGCGAGACACTGGCTGTTCAAACGTAATTGTCTCTTGCCTGAATGTAGACCTCTCAAAGTGTAAATTTGTTACTGTATCCGACTATTTGGGAACGGAGAACTCATTTTCCATGGTTAGATGTTATATAAATTATGTGTATTATCGTGGTTGGGTTGATACCAGAAGAGCCCCCATAAAATTCTGTGCCGTTTTGACTGGGAATGTACAGGGCGTAGAATTAAGAGCCCCAAGTCCGCAAGAAAGAATATCATGCAGAGCGTGATCCCGTCAACTCCGAAGTACTTGACCATGTCAATGCTGTAACGAGCTTCCTGGGAAAGAGTAATTCACCCGCTAGTGTGGCCCAAGCAATATTGTATTAAAATGTCACATAAAGAGTTCAAGCGAGATCAACAAATCTGCCAAACTCTCAGATGTTCGTGCTAAAGCAAATGAAATCGCCTCCTTCGGAGACGGCTCTGAATATTCTAACTAACGTTAATGAATATGACATTTTGTATCATAAATGTTTGAAATCTTCTATACCTTCAAATTTCGGTAAAGCTGCGTTAATTGTACCCGCCGAGTGCCGGTCGACGGTATTGCAAGTGGCCCACTAGCACTAATCACCTCTCGCAGGTCACTTTTCGCATAGGAAAACTGAAACTAAATTAAAATCTGATTTTTTTGGCCAGTAATGAGCATGGATATTAGAAATGTTTGCAGATCTTGTGATAGATGTCAAAGGATGTCTGCAAAAGGTAACGTGTCCAAAGTGCCTTTGATGAATATGCCTATAATTACTGAACCTTTATCTATAGTTGCCATAGACTTGGTCTTGGTTTATCGCCAGCAAGTGAGGATAAGCTCCGTTATATCCTAACGCTTATTGACGTGGCAACAGGATTCCCAGAAGCATTGCGCCGCAAGGATATCGATTCTATTTCTGTGCCCGAAGCTCTGCTCCAAATATTTGCCCGCGTAGGGATCCCTACAGAAATACTGTCTCACCGTGGACCACAATTTACCTCCGCCTTGATGGGGGAAATCATTCGATGTGTACAGGTCGTATTGAACGACTCCATTCTACCTTAAAATCTCGTCTTAAAAAGCTTGTGTATTGACAAGCCAACTCAGTTGCATAGCTACTTGGTACCGACATTGTTCGTGCTCAGGGAACTGCCGAGCGAGTGGCGACCGTTTACTTTAGGCTATTCCGCCTTCGAGCTCCTCTACGGACGACAAGTTCGCGGACAGATTTCGGCATTACGCGACTTGTGGAACGTCAATCGTGTAAATTATGTCATAATGAAGAAGGACGCACGAAGCTCTATCAAGCCATTTGCTTAAGCAATATTCGCGCAGAGCGACTGTTTCCTGTGCTTACGCCGGCGACGGAGAGCCAGGCCAGCCTTTGACTCACAGCGATCTCTTTCTTAACTGGAAAAATAGTGTTCATAAATTTGACGATCAATTTGAACTTGGCTGTAGTGAAACCTGTATTTCTAATGAATTTGAGGAGATTGTAATTGTAGACACAGGAAACGAGAAGCCTGAAATATGTAGTTTGCTTGACGAAACCCAAACTGTTCAGGTAACCCAGATGCTTGAAGAGTTTGAAAGTGTCCCATCTTTAGTTTCTGGATGTATTAGCTTTCTGAAGCATGAAATTAGGTGGACTACGTCAGAACCTGCTCGATCTAAAGTATATTCTGTGTCACTGCATTTGCGAAAGCAATTTGACGACGAAGTCCATAAATTATTGCAACTGAATATAATTCAGCCTTCTTCTTCACCTTACAGTTCTCCATGTGTATTAGATAAGAATCCAGATAACAGTTATAGATTAACAATTGACTACCGAGCCCTGAACTCTGTCACTCAGTGCGATGCAGAACCTCCTTGCAACATGGACGAGGAGCTGCACTAATTCCATGGTGCCAAGTATTTCTCCGAAATTGTTCTCTGTAAAGCTTACATCAGATTCCTCTTTTATAAAATTCTAGGCCTCTAACTGCTTTTGACACGTCCAGAGGTCTTATGGAATTTAAGACTCCCTTTTGACTTTGACTTTACCGTTGTATCGTCCATACACAAGACTCGTGCGTATAGTTTTGAATTCATTGCCTAATGTGTCATTCCATTTTGATACTATTTATGTCTACAGCTAAACCTGGCCTGAACATGTAGAAACATTGAAAGCTGTATTTTCTAGAACCTAATGCTCATAATTTGACAGCGAGACCATCCAAAGGTCGTATTGTGGTAAATAAAACTGATTATTTAGGTTATAATCTAGGTGAAGGTCAGCTCTGACCACAAGGGAGCAAAAAATTGAATCCATAATGAGCATAGCTGTCCCAACAACGAAGAAATTGCTCTAATCCTTTCTCGGAATGATTTCATTCTATCGTCGGTTTATCAAAGCCTCCAATTTCACTAGACCTCTTTCAGATTTGCTGAAAAAAGATGTGAAGGAACCTCTGCCCTGGCCAAGCGAAGCGATATCCTGTTTCGAAGACCTGAACGAGGTGTAATTTATTCGGAAGCTGGACTAAAATTACCGATACCGACCCAGCCCTTCGTTGTACATACTGATGCTTCCAATAATTCTGTGGGTTGCGTACTACTTTAATATCACGATGACGTCCCTCACCCAATATTCTATGGTAGCAGGAAACTTTTGGATAGAGAAAAACGCTACGGAAAAACGGAGGAGGAGGGACAGGAGGAGTTAGTGTAGTTTTTGCTTTTTTTATGGTGAACATTAAATTTCCAATCAGTAGTTCACTGTGTGCAGAAGAAGAGCTGCGAGAGGCCGAAGTCTCTGCTGCTCGACGCTGCCGGTGATGACCCTCGCAGCATGCTAGTATTATATTATTTTATGAAGGTCACCGCACAAGCTACGACAGCGCTGTGGCCATCGCATCGTCCTCGTCTAACTCTGCGCCAGCCGCGGCCAGCGTCAGCTCCTCTCTCGCCCGTACCGTCAGCAGCGCCCCTCGCTCGCCCCCTCCGAGTAGACAGGTGATGGGCCCCCTCCAGGACAGTCCAGGTGGGTGAGTCGTTGGCTCTTTTATTTCAGCCCAATTTCATGTTTTCATGTCTTCCTTCACAACTTCTTTTTACCCAATCTCATGTTTTATGTCCAACTTCTTTCTGCCCACTTCATGTCTGCCCGCACGTCCCTTATTAGCCCATTTGACGGCATTGTAGCGTAAGTAAATAGAACCAATTACTATATAGTACATTTACTCAGGACTACGAATTTCAGATTTTGTTGCTGAAATATCAAGCTAGATCCTTGGCCATCAGACCGCACCCGCTGCCACCATTAGAGTCCGCGGCCTCCAGAGAGCTTCTAGTGAGTTCAATTCTTTATTAAAAATCAATTAAAATGTTTTAGTTTTTATAGCTTTTGTATTGACTGTCGCTACATCAGACTTATCACAATTGTTTATTTCTGTTTCAGAACAATCTTCTAGAACATCAGAACAATCTTCTAGAATGTATGGCCGCCTTGGAGCTAGAACTGTCTAAAGTAAGTCTATTGACTCGTATTCGTATTTTAAGTTTATTTGTTTGTTATGATTTATCATACAGATAAGTATCTGTAAGACAAATAACGTATTGTTAATAACCCTATACCGCCTGGCACGAGTAACCGGAGCAATATTGTCACAAGCCTACTACCCGAAAAGAATACGTTGCTAGTACCTTCGCGTCTCGAGGCAGGAGCCTCTCGTTTTGCTGCCACGAACAACGAAACGGTAAGATAGAACTTATTTCGGTTGCATCAATTCTGCATGGTAAACTCGGTTGTGATTATCCGCCGGAAATTTAAATTTAGTGCAGGAGATCCACGTTATGGACGATCAACGTGGGCAGGAGGTGCAGGAGGAGGAGGGGGGGGGGGCGCCGCAGCTACTTCTGCCACCCGTTATTGAGGGTGGTAAACGGAAGTCCCCCCATAACCACCCGGAGACTAATGCAAATTGTAAGTAATACACGTTTGTGACTTATGCGGTTACAGTAGGAGTCACTTACAAAATTATAATAAACGTATAACGATACACGATAAAAAAATAATGAAATTTCAAAATTTGATTTTAACTTTTTTTTCAATAAAAATATTTTAAGATAAAAAATTTTAATCTGAGAGCGGTAAGAATTTCTTGGCTTTTGACTGCGACGCCCCCTCCTCCTCTGGAGCTTCTCCAGCAAATACAAACGAGCGTAAGTTAGGGATTTTTTATTTTCTTTTGATTTTTCCTTATCCTGCGGATAGCCTGTGCTGGCGACTAGCCGGTAAAACAGCTTAGTTAAGAAAATGTTCATTTTTTTATATATTTAAAATCGACCCGTCCGAAGCCACTTTGCCACGCAAAACAAGGCGAATACTAGCCCAACTTCGGTCCGGCCACTCCATTATACTAAGCAGCTACAAAAACCGCATTGACAACAACATTTGTCCACATTGCCGTCTTCTGCCGGACAACGTGCCTCATTTTTTTAACTGCTTCAGCAATCCTACAACCCCAAACATCATAGACCTATGGCGAAGGCCCGTTCAAGTGGCTGGTTGGCTCCGGCCCCGTCTGGACCAGCCCGGCTGACGCGCTCGGTTGGGCAACAACAACAACGAAGGGTACACTAAAGTCGCCATAGCATGGCGAGGTTATTGCAGTCTTTGCGTGAATAGCATCTACGTGAGACTGTGTACAGTATATATTTTTATCTATTTGAAAATTTTGTCCAAACAATTCTAGTAACTTGAGGTTCGCAATATGTAGAAGAAATCACTATATCATATCTAGACTACATGTTACGATTTTTAGAGATGTTGCTATACTATCGTTTTCATGGTTAGACGGTTACTTAAAAAATGACTAATATAACAATAATAATAATTGCAAGTTAAATAATTTTTTAGACTTAAGGCATCAGAACTCTCTTTCCTATCTATTTACAACCTATATGTTGAATTACCAACTGCTTGACCGTTATACTAACATGTGGCAATGTGTTGATACCTTCTAGTCGCCATCCATCGATAAAATTGTGGGAATCAACTCACCATAAGAAAATTACTGCTAGGCCACGCTATATAATGTCTGTTCAATGTTTCTGATTAGTTCACGGGTTTGTCTTAGCAAATGAAGGTGTCGTCAGCGATTAAACATTTCGTTTTTAATCCCTTATTTCTTTATGTAATTTATATTTAATTGTACTTAGATAATTTTTACATTTGCTCATTACTAGATTAAATTTTTTATTTCCAGTGAAGGAAGGCAATTTTTTTCTCATGATGATTTGATTCTTCACGATTTTAGCTATGGTTTACATCTCGACGGCAAAAAGATGACCGTGGCCGTGAATATGATGATTTTAGAGCTCTAGTAATCGCAGAATGTATAAAAGAGATGATATAGTGATGGTCTTAACCCATCACGACCCTCGAGTAACTAACATTATTACATAGGGGAAAGTATATGCTTTTTCCCCAAATTCTTGAAATTTTTGAATGATTCTCTATTATTTGAAGATAATAAGGTGGAGCTTCGAAATTTTGAACATAGACTTTTTCTGGCGATTTTTGTCCATTGTGACCTCTAAAAATGCTGGCTGGATTTTTGAAAAAGTTTCTAAATATATATAATTCTTTCTTATTTTTTTATTTAAATTGACCCTCGAATCATGAAGAAATTATCCTATGAGTCTAAAATTTTGCACACATCGTTTTTTTTTTGCACATGCACAACTTTTCTGCACTATTGTGAATCCAAACTCCAAGAAGTTGATAAAACGCTACGGTGGCGGAATCGAAAGAAAGAACCTTTGGAAAGAAAAAATGTTGACTTCGTCCAATTTACTAATTTCGATCTTTAGGGGACGCATGGAAAACAACGAACAACAACAAATTTATAATAAAACATACGCCGGGCAATAAACATGCAACTTTGCTGAACATTCAGCGCCGACACTACTTAGTAAGAGAAGCGTCATTATTTTTAAGCGTAAATTCACTTTCCAACCATTGCAGCTGACAACACTGCAATCCTTCTTGCAGGTGTTCATCACTATCTTATGATAGGAAATGAAACAATCGTAGATCGTAGTTGCATCAATAAATGGAATGTCTTTGGTTCTTAGTGGCAATGGTTTAAATACCAGCTACGTGCGTCTGATGATGCGGTTATTTGATACAAACATTTCCACGTTAATAATTTTTAGCGTGAAAAAATAAATGTAAGACCGCACAGTGTATTGTCAAAATCTAAATCTATGACGGCTTTTGCGGTTATCCAGTAAGATCTGTTAAAACGGTAAATTGACTTCCAATGTTTGCATCTGGGCCATGTTATTGTAGCACCAGGTGCAGGTGACTCAATTTTATATTCTAGTAAACCAACATATTTTTAAACTAAGCCACAGGACATAACAATTATTATTAATGTTGAAAAAGTGGTTCAACATCAGTACAACACATGGTTTGAGATAAGAATGATCTAATCACTAGATGAAGCTTTGCAGCACTTTGTTCATTCATTAATAGTTACGGAAGGATTAATAAGCTTCGCAAGAATGCATGCTCGGAAAATATACATTTCTGGACTAGTCAGTGCATGATACAATTTACAAGCCTTTCATGACATCAGATACAAAATGAATAGTATTCACTAAAGTACGGAAATTTGAAGTTAAAATTATCCGTCATGTCGTACCTCAGCATTTCGAGTGCTAGCTTATGTCAACGCCTTAACCATATCCATAATGTGGGTTCTCGGGAGACTTCGTGGGAGTCTGGGAGACGGATGTGCGTGAGTTGCTCTCTTTAAACTAATCAATTTTGTATCTGATTCCATAGTTTGTAGGTTACTTTCACTTAGCTTAGGAATAGGAAGATCAGATGGGGAAAGGGAAACGTAGAAAAAAAGTAATAGCCATTCATCTGGATCGACAGTCATCGACTGATGACGATGCAGACTCAGGCTCTCAGGCATGCCTCTCAGCCTCTCGAGCATGAGTATTGACTCTCAGTCAATACTCATGTCCGGCCCGACGCCCGTCAGACTTAGCGGAAAAACATGCAGTGAAGTGAGTGAACCAGAACACCCATTCTGACTCACAGACCCAGTTCTCGAGTGGGACATGTAAGTGGGGTCTGGGCCCAATAACAGTATATGGATCATAATCATAATGGATGGCTAAAAAGGGCATTTATTGCCTTCAATAATGGCCAACAGGCCAAGGTGGTGTTTACCACTTACACTTAGGGATTTTTGAGTAAACAATTATTGATAAGTCTATTCATAATCATTAGCTTTGTAAAGTTTGTATGGAGCAAGGTAATGAGCTAAATATTGACCATTTAACTGGCTTCAATATACAAAAACACTTCAGGAATGCAGATCTTCTAAACATTGAAGAGTCACATAATGGATAGGTAGCTGATAGCACAGTGAACAGCAGTCAGCACTATCAATAGATCTACTTGTTTTATGTCCTATAAATCTACCAGACTCTACCCTCTAATAAATATCAGTGTGGAATTCTGTATAGGTAATATATTCTCATGTCAATATAAGAAAACGTATCGAAATACCAACCCTACCACCGCTGACCGCGTTACACCACATAATTTTTTGCCTCAAATAATGTTGTATCGAAAAACTGGTCTAGGTGTAGCGAAAATAATATATGAACTGTAAATTTTAGAATTCCATCCTGCCCTCTATACACACCAACTAGGAGTGACTGAGTGACTGACTGCACTGTTCCCATTTAATTCAGACCAATAAACCAATACTAAACATAAACTGAATGATAACCAAACAAACCTCATACAACTTGAAATGAGACTTAAGTTATGAGAAAATCTAACACTGTTTGAAATAAACATGTGCACAATTTAAATATTTTATATCCATTCACTGCTTTTAATTATTTTATATATAGTCTTATAATTGTAATTGTTTTTTTTTCTAGTTTTAAATTCACATATTTAAAGATTGAAATTAAATATTTTAATTAGAATACTCATTTTAGAGTGGAAAATCTTTCTAATTGCCTAAAAGGTCAATACAATCTCAAACTCTCAATATACAAGGTGGGCCAGAACTGATTGAGCAGTTTTGATGTAAAATAAAAGAGTAATGGAGGTACATAAAGAAAAAAGTTTATTTTCCTAGAAGTTAGCATAACATACCATTTAGAATACTTATGTTTTGAAAACAATATTTATTTGGAAGATGGTGGCCGTTAGCTGCAACACACTGTTGAGTCGTTCGCAAAGGAGGGAGTAACCGTAACAGTGAATTCTGATTGCTATGCTGCAATGTTGCAAAATTTCTTGCAGCCCATGATGGAAAACATTGTTGAAAATGAAGCATTTGGAGACATGTGGTTATAGCAGGATGGGGCTACAGCTCACACAGCCCGAATGTCACTCAATGTTTTGAAATGCATGTTTCCTGGACGTCTGGTGTCTCGATCTTGAGGGGTGATTTACAGTGGCCTGCAAGGTCACCTGATTTGAGCATTTGTGATTTCTTACTTTGGGGACAGCTAAAAGAGAGGGTGTTCAGAAGTCGCCCTCACAGCCTACCACAGCTAAGGGTACGGATTATTGCAGCAGAGGTTACGGCCATACCTCGCCATATGTGTGAACGTGCTGTAGGAAACTTCCGAGAACGACTCCAACAGTGTGCTGCAGCTCACGGCCTCCAAATTCCTGATATTGTTTCCAAAACATAACAAACAAATGCAAAGCAAAACCCAACACAACGCGCTGTTGCCGGGAAGCTTTTGTGGCTTGTGTAGCACAGCCAATCTGTGCTTATTTATCCTTGTTATGTGCCTCCAGCCTTGCCTTTACCTCACCTCAATGTCCTTGTTCTCTACCGTTTCAGTCTCAGTTACAGATATTCATCAACTATAAGCTGAGCCCAATGAATGATACCCAGCTGTATAACAGAGCGGTCTGACAGTCCTGACCACTCATGCTTAGCCATGCTGGTTAGTGAATGTGAATTAACTTGTGTTTTCTGTAAATAAGGCATTGGTTCTTGATTTATTATGATTCTTTGATTACATTGCATTAACTTCTGCATTTTCTCATGATTCCTATTTTAAACAAATAGTCAACTATACTTGATAGTCTGTCATTGCATTGTCAACCGTGTTCACATTGCAAACCCTTTTGGTTCTTTGGATACTACTTAACTTGTTTTGATTCCATTTAATTATGATGATATCCCTTGCTTGTTTTGTTAAGGTTAACTGATAAGTCCCTTGCCTTCACTTTACCCTGCAGTGCTTGATTACAAATTAATCTTTTCAATCACAGCTTCTCAAGTAATTCATCTTTTATTATTTTATTAATTTCATCTATTTTTACAGCTGGCATGGGAATGTTAAGTTCACATTAACCCGGCCTGTGCTCTTCCCTTATTAGTGATTTTTTTAATTTTATTTTGCCTACTGCAAATCTTAATTTGTTAATTTGATATTGTTCCTAATAAAATTTAAAACCTTAAAGCTTTCAAACCTAAAATTTAGACAAAATTAGCACTTCCACAAATATTTATTCTTTCTTGTTGTCATGGCCCTTTCTGTTATAAGAGGGGATAAATTGCAACTCGCGGTGCGCTGAGACTCACATGATAACAGCGCAAAACGCAAAACCCCACACAACGTGCAAAACGCCAAACCCAATTCAAAATGCAATGCAAAGCGCAATGCAAAACCCAATGCAACCCAACTCTTTCCCCAACACAAATGGGTTGCTTGCAATGGAAAAGAGAGCACTCCATGCAGTTTAATGTTATTTACAGTTTAGTACTATTTAGTTAGTAGTGACTGCCTCATGTGAGGTTTGCTACTTTTTCCACTTACAGCAAATAAATCCTATTCTCCTTCAGAGTCCCGCCCATAGGGTGTCATGTTTTTTCCTGTTTCTGCATTATCTTAGTAGAACTGTGCCTTAGCTATTGAGTCCACAGAAGCTCCACCCCCCCCCTCTGGGCTGGACCTTCTGTAACTTATATAACCTCATGTGAGGTGCTGATTAGGGCATGGTTATTACTACTAACTGGGCTGGGAACACACTGACAATGTGGTGATCTCTAAAGTCGATGCTCAATTTAATATCTCCTATACCTATTCTGTACCTAAATGTTTGACCATGTTATCATAACTCATGTTTCTTTTACTTTATTCATTTTCTCTCTTTAATTTTTACCTTTATTTATTTTCTTTCGTTGTTGTTGTTATTTTTGCTGTTATTTTTTCTTGTAATTTTTTGTGTGTGTGTTTCTTTTGCAGAATTGCAGATTTTCAGATGTTACATAACTAGGTAGTATTAGACACAAACTAGACCCTATTTAGGCAAGGGGCTGCATGGACCAGTATCCAGTGCTCCTATCAGAAGAATTAAATAAATAAATGCCTCAAAGGGTTGTCTGTTACGCAGGGAGCAAAATGCTAATAAAAAAATTGAAGAGATCTTGGAAGAAGAGGATGTGCTGTGCTTTTGATTACTGAGATATCGTCGTCTTTAAAATTAAACCTTGCATTCCAATTTTCAAGACTACTTTAAAATTTTTAATTGAAACCATCCACAAGGATTGTAAATTTCAATTCGTTTTCATATTGTCAAAGCAAATGTGTAGACTAAGTGTTCATGTGATCTCAATAGATTTAAGACAGTCTAGCATTATGAACCAGCTACTAGGCAGTAGGCAGTGACTGGCACTGACTGCCTTATGTGAGGGGTGCTACTTCTTCCTCTTTTAGTTTTACCAGTAACCAGACTATCCCTATTCTCCTTCAGAGTCCCGCTGATAGACTGTAAAGTTTTTTCTTGTTTGCATGTTCAGAGTAGAATCTTGCCTTGACTGTTGAGCATAATGTCAAAGCAGAGACTTTTTTAGACTCTTTCTCTATTTAATTTTTGAGTTCTATAGCTATAACAGTATAAGGCTACACCTATTCTCTACCTAAATATTTGGCCATGTTTGCCATGAATCTTCTTGTTTCCATTAGTTAAGAAACTAAAAGAAGTTAAGATGAAAAAGGAGTATCATGTGCACACTAAGTCAGGGTGCTAATTATATTTTTTGGCCAACACATTCAGACTTGTTTGCTTCTAATTTCCAGAAGTTTATATGTCCTAGTAAACACAAATAAATTGTTGTCAATATGGACTGAATATTAAAAATTCATAAGATTTGTTTTATCAAGATCAACAATTCTATCAACAATGCCAAGTGCCCACCTCACTCTGCGTGAGGAAGATATTATTCGGCTATCACTGGAGTTCCTGCAAAATCGGGCACTCCACATCACCCAGCTGAGCTTGGAGCGTGAAAGTGGGATCATCAACGGCAACTACTCAGATGACGCTCTGTTCCTCAGGCAGCTTATCCTGGACGGCCAGTGGGATGATGCCCTGGAATTTGTTCAGCCTTTGCAGGTTGGTTTTTAGTCTTTGTTTATTTTTCTTCATTCTTTAGTCTTTCTTTAGTCTTTGTTCTTTATATTCAAGGTATGATATGAACCGTTTTTCCACAAATTTCAAATTTGCCAAGTATTGCTCAAAATTTTACTGGGTTTTATTGCTGAAATTCATTTTCAGTTTTTTAAGACAATTATAACATAGGTAGGGTATATGATTAAATTTATATATTATATTCCAGGCTATGGAATCATTCAACAGCAAGAAATTCCACTTCCTTATTCTGAAGTATAAATATTTTGAGCTGCTCTGTATCAAAGCTGAAGCTCCCGACTCTGCCAACAATGAAGCTGCTGTCGCTGAACTTGTCAAGGTGAGAGATGCCTTGCTTTCAAAGACATTATGGGGCTTACTTGAAACACTGGAAATATTTTTAGTTTCCACAATTGTGAATTTTCAAGAATTCATCAAAGTTTTTCATAGCCAGTTCAGAAATGCTAGCTGATATTTAGAATAATGTCCTGATTCAAATCATCCTATCCAATATAATATAAGAATCTGTTCGTAGATTTCTCCCTTGTTTTAACTACTACTAACCATTATATTTGTACTTTTGTTATTGCTATAAAAAGCCAGTCAAATTACCTCTTTACATAAATTTAGTCACTGGTAAGTATAAGTAAGTTTAATTAGTTCAGAGTACCAAGACTTAAAGTTTAGAGTACCATAAAATGGGGTAACTTAGACCGGCGGGGTAACTTAGACCACTTTTGGTTTTTTTAACAAAAACCCCCAAAACTCAAAAACTATTTGACATAGAAAAATTTTGTCATTGGGCATTAAAGGCCTAATACTGAGGCTACATTGTAACCGGGCGCACTAGCGGGTGGAACAAACTCGTTGTTCACTTAGTGAAAATTACTCGTATAGTGCTTGTCACAGAAAACGGGAATTAATGAATTACTTAGGGATTTGCTTTTATTTAAGTATTTATTTTCATTTATTAAAAGAAAGCCAATATGTTAAAAATTGTATACAATAAGAACAATTTGCCAAACTCATAATCAAAACCGAATCGATAACCATTCAAATAAACTTAAGACCGTAAACATGAAACTATGGAATGAAACAATGGGTGGAGTGAAACACACAGCAACTGAAACAAACAAATGAACATAAATATACATGCAATAAGAGACATACTAATTTATTTGCTATGTGAGGGAATTTAGTGAATTAATTTGACTTTAAACATGAACAACAAAATAGGAGTGAATTAAGGAATATATTATAGAGTTAAAACAGTCAAGAGCAAATGCAAGTGCAGATCTTTTAAGTGCAAAAATGATTTAAGAAAACAATTTAAGTAATTATTGCAAGCACAAGCATCGCACCAAAAATTAATCAAGCTGACAGATATGAAAAGAACCATTGTAACAATAAATGACAATATAATGAATAAGAACTAAAATGCATAAAACAATCAGCCTAAAATATGTACATTAGACATAATTGATAATTAAAATGCAGACTAAACAGCCAACTCACCAACTGGTGATGGCGGTGCGAGTTTCAGAACATTCTGCTAACTCGAGACAAGTTTATTTGGCATGCATTAATATAGGTTTATGGGGTCGTTCAATACCTGAAACGAGACATAAAAACATAGGGCAACATTAGACACAAATGCATGAAATATGACAAATAATAACCATGTTTGCAATAAGTGAAAACAATAAATAAATGAAATCAATAATAGACATTTGTGAGCTGAAACACATGAGCTTGGTCTGCCCTAAGATTACCCCCGGTAACATACCCCCCCACCAGACCAAGGTCTGTGTAAGGCGAACTTTATTACAAAATATATTTACATGGTAAAATATCAGTTAAACTTGAATAACGGAATAAAATTTGCAATAAACTACAAGATCATTGGTAAAATATGTACAGCTCGCAACACTCACGATATAAGACTGATTATTAAATTTAAGAGATAACAAATATGCATTACAGTAAGACGTCAACATTGATTACATGAATATATCATCATCAGATACTGGTCCTCTCGATCGAGTTTGCATTGAGTGAATGGGCGCATTTGTCAGCTTTCTTTTTCTTTGATCATTCTTGCCCTCAGGCTTACTGTCAACACAACTCTCAGTTACTGACTTCAACTGTGCTAACTTTTTCGCTGATTCCTCAAATGCCGGGAACCCATGGAATTCCTCATCACCCTCCACAGCTGTTACATGATCAAAATTTCTAGCTTCACTACTACTAGCGCAAGACGCATGATCAGCAATGACTTCCTGGGAAGCAGGTTCCAAAACTGCTCTTAAGGTACGAGGTGACAGAGAACATTCAACATCGGTTTCTTCCTGCGATTCATCTATCATAAGCTGGGAATCTAATGAGGACAACTCCCAATCTTCCTCTAAATCAGCAGCAGGCACATTAAATTCTTCGAGAAAACCATCAGAAATTGGAGATGACAATGTTTTGTCCATTAATGAATCTAGTATTGATTGAGTCGCAACATCACATATTACAGGTACATCAGACTCCATTTCGCTAGTTACATAAAAATTTGTACTGCTACTACATTCACTGTCAATACGAGTTTCGAAATGACAACCTTTGCATAAGCCAACAAGGGAATGTTTGGACGAACTTGAACGACTAGGCGAACTCAGTCTAGAACCACTCAACGATGTACTCGTCAATGGCAACTCCACCACCCCCTCAGCAGGTGCATCATGAAACCCATGGAATGACTCAGACTTACTACCAGACGAAATACTAAAATTACCAGAATGAGAGGCATGACTTGCAATAGAGACTTCATGACGAACTTCACTTAACGACTCACCGCTGACAGACTCATCACTCAACGACTCATTGCTGACAGACTCATCACCCACTGGATCGTCACTCACTGACTCATCACCCTCTGTTGAACTACTAGAACTACACGCGACAGAACTACGACCAGGAGCAGGCATAGCATCAACTTCACACTGGATAGCACTTTGTTTCGCCAAGCCGGCCAGAACGGTTGCTAATTCTTTGAGCAATCTGGGATGGAAACCGTCTGGTCCACATGACTTGTTGGGATTTAGAGCTACCAGGTGCTTGAGCCTGGTATACAGCTATCATATAATAATAACTCATCATTTCAGGTGTTGGAGAAAATAGCACTTCTTATTTAGAATACTGCCTTAAAGGGTTGTTGGTTTATTTATTTAAGCAGAACTCCGGACTTTGAGATGCCAAATAATCATATGATAATAATAACTCATCATTTCAGGTGTTGGAGGAGGTAGCACTTCTTATTTATAACATAGCTATCAAATGATAATAATAACTCATCATTTCAGGTGTTGGAGGAGGTAGCACTTCATATTTATAACATAGCTATCAAATGATAATAATAACTCATCATTTCAGGTGTTGGAGGAAGTAGCACTTTATGCTCCTAATAAGGAGGCGCACTCACAGCTGTGCCTGCTGCTCACCACCACGCAGCTGCACCAGCACAAGCTCTTCAAAGACTGGAACCCTTCTAGTGCCAGAGTCGAGTGCTGGAACCAGGTAAACTTTTGGCAAGATGAGCTGTTAATTATAGGGTTCTGAGCTAAATTAATTAGAATATTTGTTTCTATGTTTATTGCTTTTGAGCAGTGCAGGTTGGAGAAATTTGCAATCTATTCTCAACTAACTACAATGATGTAAACAAAAATAAAATATATTAAAATTTTCTTTCTTTTTTTAGACTTAAAATTTATTTGCAATCATTGTAAGGCCCGCTTAAGCCAGCCAGGCATTATTTGTAAATTGTGGTCCTCAGGATGGACTCATGTTTACCATAAAAGCTCAGCAGACGTTGAATGCTATGAACATTTATGTTTCTCACCAGCAGAACTGACAGAAATAAGAGCATGGATCTGCCTGCCCTGTTGGGGCGGGTGGGAGTTTAATAAAAAAGAGCGAACTGAATAAAAATTACATTAAACGTGGAAGAGAGACTGAATTGACTGAAAACAGCCTTTCAAGCAATGCTGATAATAAATTCCAAGAAACTGATCAGTAAAAAACACACTAAATAGAACTTGGGTACAAAAGTGTCGTGTAGATGCAAACTAAATGGTACACCTAGAAGAATGCAAGCAAGAGTGACAGTACGGTACTATAATAAAAAAAAAATGATTGCCAAGATAAAAAGACAAACTAGATTATATGGCACTATTGTTCTAACAGCATAGGTTTTTTTTCTGTATCAGTGCATGTATACATGAATTAAGCAAAATTAATTACATTAAAGAATCAAATTGAAGATAGAAATTGAAATGTATATACCCGCAAACTATGCATTTCAGGAACATCTGATCAAATGGTAAAATAATAGAACAAGTGGGTACACAAGTAAAGCTTGCTACAAAGAAGCCAAAGCACTCTTGTGATATTGCCCTTGTTGGAGAACTTGGTACATTGAGATGACAATTAACAATACTGTCTGTCTCCAATATACTCCGGTAGTGTAAAATTGAGCAAGTGTATGAAATAGTTCTAAACCTGAAGCGTTCAGAAAATAATTTCAGCAACACTGATAAGGTATAATGTGCTATTCGTGATGTATGACTTGATGAAGAGTTTAAAACCCTCACATGCTGTAATTTTAATCCATGGATAAAACATGTTTCCTTTGAAAACGAATGACGTACTCCAAGTATAAACTGCTAATTGAAAAATAGCTATAGATAACAAACAAGCTATGAAGATGCGGCCTTCCTATTATGTATTGGGCTCTGTTTTTCTGTAATAATAATAATTATTATTAATAATCATAATTAATAATAATCATTATTATAAAGTGATTATTACTAATACTAATTATCGTATGTACCTACTAATAATGTACACAATTATAAGTACACTAATTATTAGTACACAAACTTTTTAATAATAAGTTTGTGTACTAATAATGTTATTAATAATATCATTAACAATATTTTCCCCCATGGCAGGTGTTGCCGCTGGTAGAGAAGTACCTGTCAGGAGAGCGTGGTAGTGACAACATAGGCACGCCAGGCTCGAGTGCTGGAGACAAGAACAAAACTACTGCCAAGAACGACAGGCTCGTCCAGCTCATGATCAAAGGGCTGCTCTATGAGAGCTGTGTCGAGTATTGTCAGGTGATTGTTCTTAAATAGTTAGTAGTTATCTTGTCAGATTTGCCTTGACTTGAGATAGAAAAATTGTACCGTAATTAATTTGGTATATTCGCGTTTTTCGCGTATAGGTATTCGCGTTTTTCGCGCAGGTGATTGTTCTTAGTTAGTAGTTTTCTTGTCTGATTTGTCTTGACTTGAGATAGAAAAATTGTACTGTAATTAATTTGGTATATTCACGTTTTTAGCCCATTTTTCCATTTATGGAATAAATGCACTGTTGTGCTCGTCATGTCCGTCCGTCTGTCTGTCCGTGACGTTACGTTTTCGTCGACGAGAAAATGCGCTCTCTGTCACTCACAGCAGTGAGTACTGAGTTATATTTTTTTGTGTTGTAATGACTAATTAACTGAGCATTTCCTGGACACAAAGGGTTTGATTTTGTCCATAGTTGAGTATCACCTGCAAAGCATTGGCATATGTTTAGCTTATTTCATGATTGACAATCTTTGCTTGTTTCCCACAAGCAGTTGAACCCAAATTTCTGAATTATTGATTAACTTCTTTTCAACGCCATTTCCGAGTGATCACTTTATTATTAGAGAATTATTCAATGTTTTTTCTATATATAGCTAGCAAAAGGCATCAAAAATATATTTTTCTATAAATAGCAAAACATATGGAAAATATATACTTTGCATGCTTGTAACATCGCTATTTTGCATCTGCATTTTCAAAATTTTAACATAAACTACAAGGAACAATCTTATGACAGAATTTTGAAGTTAATTAATTAATGAACAATTTTATGATTCACTGCAGGGCCAGGCTACAGACACAATTTTGAAGTTAATTAATTAATTAATGAACAATCTTATGACTGCATTTTAGAACAGAATTATGAAGTTAATTAATTAATTAATGAACCATCTAATAATCCGCCTCTCACCACCGCAGGGCCAGGCTACAGGCACCGCTAGTCCCTCAGCCTCTCCTCACCTCGAGTTCCCTCCTCTGCTTTCCCTCACAACTTTCAGCGACTCTGACCTCAGTCTTCTGTCCTGGCTGCAGTCCATCCCACCAGAGACTTTTGCTTGTCCCTTCGAGCAGCGCAGTCTCAATGTGGACGTGGAGAGACTGGATAAACCCAGTCTTGAGGCCAGCTGGACGGAACAGCTTCTAGTTACGCCAATCAAACCCAGGATCTTCCCGCACTCTGCTATGCCTTATAGTCGCCCTAAAGCCACTGACCTCATGTCGCGGTGAGAACAACATTATTGTTGTCCTTAGGTTGGGTAGGAAATAATTCTATCAATAATAAATTATATAATAATTCTACCTATATTTACTATAATAAATTATTATAGTAAAAATATTATCATAGTGATTATAGTAAAAAATTCGAATTTCCTTAATCCTCGGGTGATTTGAGTAGATTATTATAATAAATAATATAATAATAATTATATTAAATAATTCAGATGTCCTCAATCCTCAGGTAGTTCCTCATAATCCAGTTAATTCAGAGGATATTATTGTAAAGCTTAACGTGTGATTTATTACATTCATTGATTGAAACGTAATGTATAAAAAATTTTCATTTGTGTCAGGTCTCTGAACCCCGGCATGGAAGGCTTGGCAGGCTTCAGGTCGTCTATGATCGCATCATCTGGCGACATGAACATTATGTCTAAAAGCATCGCAAGCTTCCACTTGACAGGTAAAAAGACCATCAACACGTCAGTAGACCGACTCTTCGACTCAGACCATGTCTTCACCGGCAGCGCATACGGTGATCTCCCCACTATAATTGAAAAAGATTTATCATCTCTCAACCTGTCAAAGGATATGAATAACTTAAAAGACACAACTAAAAGACACTCTACTGATTCTCTTAATAAACCTCCAGTCAGTGAAAAAAATTCAGATTTTTCTGAATCAACAAAAGAAGATCGGACTTCACCCAGGGCACATTCCCCTGCAATGCACAACAGTGGTGCAGGTGGTGCTACAGGTGGTGGTGTTAATCACCATTCTCTTGCTCACCATCAACTTCATCACAACGTGTCAGCTAGTCAAACAAATCTGTCACCATCTACAGTGCAGCAACAGATGCACCCTAAACAAAACGTTCCTCTACCACCTCTACCTGCACAAATCCCACACTCACCACAACCATATCAACCACAACAATCTTACCAACCATACCACGCACCAGCACAACAGTTCCAGCGTTACAATTCACCACAACAATACAATAACAATATAAACAGTGACGTGGCGCGAGAGAAGACTGAATTATACAGCATTTATCAGCGTCGCCAGCTGCAGAACAGACCCGAGGTCTACGGCAACGCTAACAACGCGCCTGTCAACGCTAACAGGTCTAGTCTAACTCTAACGGTCTAGTCTAACTCTAACGGTCTAGTCTAACTCTAACCTCTCTGCCTTTACCTCACTTTCAATGTGAATGAATATATTTTAATGTAAATGAATACATCCCCTGCTCTGAAAATATTTTTTAAAATCGTTTACCGCTTTTGTTTCAAATGTGAGCTCAAGCCAATCGATTTATTAAAGATCCTAAACAGAGAAGACCTGTAATTTTTTGTCACGATGACTAGTGGGAAAGTTTCATGATTAATTGGGCTTTTGGTAATTTCATCCGCAAATGTAAACGTTAATAATAGAGTTAAGCGTTAATATTATAAAATTATTCGCTAATAATAAAATTAAAAGTTGTAATCAGATTGAAAGGTAATAATAAAGTTGAACGTAAATTTTAAGCGGTATTGTATTTGTTGCACCACAGACCGCTGATGAGTGGAGGGCTGAGTGTGGCGGCGGAGGATGAATGCTGAGCAGAGCTGAATGCTGAGCAGAGCTGAACGCATTAGGGGTGCGGCGTGTAGCAGTCACGTGTGCTAATGAGTTGCTAGCTCCGTAAATGAGATGTCAATATATCGAGTTAAGTTTGTTGTTGAATACGAATTTCATTCATATAAATTTTACTGAAAATACGTTTTCATTATCACGTATAATTATGAATAAAATTTGTAAATGTGGGTATAACTTACAATTATCAATAAAATTTGTATAAAAAATGCAACTTTCGTACACGAAGTAATACTTAATAATATTTTAACGTTTTCAGCATAAACGTTTTTCAAACGGTTACGGAACATGTCTGCCAATGACAGCAGTAACGACTAGGTCAACCCAATACCTGTTGAAATACTTAAAATAAAATAAAATCAGTTTTGGCTCGAGAGATCGAACTGATGTTGGAACTTTTAAGAAACATGGTTTCTCAATATTACTATTATATGGGTTGATGTTTGCTGATAACCCCACTGCATCTGAAATAGTACTAACTACTAACCACCTCTTGGTGAGAAGCTGCATAAGCAATTCATCGAAGAATAGAATATGAATTTTGTATTTATGCTACTACATCTAATTCTAATTCTATAGAATTAGAATATGAATATCAGAATAGACTATGAATACACCTACATTTAATTTTATTGGCGCAGCCTACGCTGCTGGCATTAGAATAAATATTCATTCTTCATTCGAAATTTAGTATAAATATGCGAAAATCTATTAAGACAACAGTTTATGCGCCGTGCGAATTGCGATTAGAAAGACGGTAAGTAAATGCTTTGTGCTAAATATTACGCGTTTTTTTTTTCACTCACGGATATTAACAACTTTTAAGTTTCATCGCAAGCAAACTAGTTGCCATAGCCACTAATTTGTCGCAATAACTGTTAAGCCATTAAAAGTTATTGCTACTTACTAAGCAATAATTTAATTACCTTCAAACCAACACTTCGAGCAGCCCAGCAACTAACTTTTGAAATAAAGCTTATTCTATAACTGATGACAATCCGTTAATACTGCAGAGCATGTTTGAAAGGCGACTGTACGGTACACCTGGGCCGTAAAGGGTTAAGTTTTCGTTTTTATGCACAGGATATGAAATTTAGTGTCGTAGTTTTCATGAGAAATTCGCGATTTTCTGTTGGACGAAACCCACGGCTAAAAACGCTGGCTTCGCATATTAGATTAGCTAATTAATAAAAAACTTTTGTTAGCCGCTACCCCGTACATTTTCGAATGGGGAGTTACGATTGTGAATGCAGAGTACGTTGCTAATTTTCTATTGTATCGACCAAACGTATTAGGCATATGCCATCTCTGCGATCAATGAAGTCTGCAGATTATGCATGTATTTGACAACCATCACAATAACCATGCCCTGACCAGTCTTAGTCCCTCTTCCCTCAGACCACGACCAATTCTCTTCCCTCAGACCATGAAATTCTCGCTATTGACGATTAAATTCTCGCTCTTGACGATTAAATTCTCGCTATTGACGCTTAAATTCTCGCTCTTGACGATTAAATTCTCGCTATTGACGCTTAAATTCTCGCCATTGACCATTAAATTCTCGCTATTGACGATTAAATTCTCGCTGTTGACGATTAAATTATCAAATTCTCGCTATTGACGATTAAATTCTCGCTATTGACGATTAAATTCTCGCTATTGACGATTAAATTCTCGCTATTGACGATTAAATTCTCGCCAACTGTCATGAAATTATATGCTATAGAGTGAAATTCTTCTGCAGTGATATTTGTTTGCTTCTATCGACATGCAAGTTTGTGTTAGAGTATTCCTATATTCCGTTAGTTGTTTATGAGAGGATATTAGGCTATATTTCCATTCGCAATACAGTGAATTGTATTGTGTGCAAGTATTTTTTATGACATGAAATGGGCAGAAAAGATTATTTTTTTACTACTTAATGTTTTTCATCAGTTCCAACTGTTGGAATTTGAAGAGTTGAAAATCTTGCGTGAGTTGAAATTAACAACACATGATGGTTCATCGCCTGGTCTGTATGCGTGACTCGCATGATTCTGTATGCGCTAGTCGCATGATTCTGTATGTGTGACTCGCATGATTCTGTATGCGCTAGTCGCATGATTCTGTATGTGTGACTCGCATGATTCTGTATGTGCGATTCGCATGATTCTGTATGTGCGACTCGCATGATTCTGTATGTGCGACTCGCATGATTCTGTATGTACGACTCGCATGATTCTGTATGTGTGCGACACGCATGATTCTGTATGCGTGACTCGCTTAATTAAATACGCACAACTCTAATGATTCTGAATGGCAGACGCGCAAAATTCCGTATGCCCAACATCAGTCGAGGCGGCAGCAAAGCACATGCAGTCTCTGCGCAGCTATAATCTAAGTGATCTATCTTATGACGCACTACCTCAGTAAATCACCGCCCCCGCTGGGTTTATGGAACTACCAAGCTACATATCTCAATCTTTTTATATTCACTGCCTTGTTATGTTTACTTGCTGCTGGTATAGGATATTATGCGCCTTGAATTGCATGCAACGCAGTAACATATAAAGTCTATATGTTTCATTTTTTGTTCTACATAACTAGCGTGATAACCTGCATGGCGCTGTTTGGGATAGTTAGCTCCTTTATCGCTTAATGGCTGATGTAATCTCGCATAGCAAGAAAAATCCGTTTATCCTGATATGACAATGATTTTCAAACTGTCGTCGACGATAAAGAACGACCCGTTCAAACCCCTGGCAGAAATAATAACCTTATCAGCCCTCGTTTTGAAATTCGAGTTTTAAACACTCCATTTCCAGTACCATTAGGTTCCAATTCTTATTCTAAACTTGCAGATATTGCTGATCTCTCGATAATCTTGTCAATATCCCGACACGATGTGAATGTTTATGACAGGACACAATATGAATATTTTTCGTATTCATATTGTGAATACGTGCGCGATAATTCACTACAACACAAAATGCAGATGGAGATTGCATATGAAAAATAACTCGTGCACTGATCCGTATAACGTTGGAAAAATCTCGCGGGTTTACGAATGACTTGAAGAGTGTTGTACTCATATATTGTATACAGGTTTCTTTTATTATGTACAATGACTTCGAAACGTGCATATCAGTACCTGTTCATATACGTTGAGCACGATACCGATGTGTGTAGGCCGCAACGTGTAATCAAGCGCTTACTCATCATGGGTTTCGTACAGGCTTACGTACGCACCTGGGCCTTGCTAGATAACCGGACCATGCGTCCAATTTCCTAAAATTTACGACTCATTTGGTATTTTCATACCTTATTTAGGTCACCGAATTATCGCAGCCTAGGAACTGGAAATCTCGAGCGATTTTGCAGTGGAAATTTACTCTTCTGGAAATTGTTTTGGATTAGATTTCGTATTTGGCTTGATAATGAATTAATTGCTGTAATGTGTTTATTTGTAATGTGCTTGCTGGCAACTTTAAAAGTGCTACAAAATCGGCATGGCGGAACGTTTACTATCGAAACACAGCGCATGACATTCAGTTGTTTTATTTGCAGTGTTTATTGTGGTAGGCGATGTAGCGGCACCGCCCTCAGCTGTTCACCCTAATATGGTAACCCTCCCTCGACTGCTATTCAATGTGTAGCTTGTCTTGCTCATGGCTTTTAAACTGCAGATACTTTTTTATGTTTTAAGTGTTTTTCTGTAATATCGTTCCTGGATGCGAGTAATTTACTGAGGATCGGGTACCACAGCGATACCACGATAGGATAGTTGTAGAGCGCGGTGATCATAGTTTTTGTCGAGGATGAGTGATGGAACTGCGGGACTTGAATGGTCGTTAATTGGTGCAGCTGCAGGAATATATGCCCGTTGCTGGAGCGCATAGTGGTCAAGCCTCTGATGTTGACGCGTGTTTAAGTAAACATAAAGGTAAAGGAAACCGAAGCTCGCGAAGCGAAATATTGACAGTAATTGTTGAAAATATTCTTTTGTGACTTTAGTAATTTGGAACAAGAGAAGTGGTCCATTTGAGTGTGCGATTCGTCTCTACAATCGTAACAAATTTGGAGTGCATTTACGACTGTGAGTTCACCTTCTTATCGATTTTTTTTTTTTTTTTTTTTTGCTTTTTCCCTTTTCGCTTTGAACTTAGTTTCTATGTCGCGATAATGATTTTTCAGTGTAATTCATATTTCAGAAATGCTTTGTCTTTGAACGTAAAATAGCATTACTCCAGCTTATTCATACTCGTATACTATAATGGTATCATCAAGGCACTGACCAGAAAATATTGTGCTAATTTGTGATCTACGTTTAATGCTACAATCCAGGATTCCATGTTGTGACCGTAAAAGGCTTCCATTGTTTTTTCCCTGGCCCTGATTCCCCCTCCTCTCCCCATTGTGATCATCCCCCTCGCCCCCGTCCCCGTGGGTGTGGTCGCACATGGGGATTCATTGCATGGATCTTCAGCCGCCCTTGCTGCGCTTGTTTCCTGCAGTGACCTAATGGGTTCGCGTGCTTAAATAAATGCAACTGGTGCTTAATTGAATTGTATTGTTGAAGTAAATTGTATAATAACGACGTATCGTTGTAGGCTCTGATCGAGGTGTCGGGGTTTCGCTGGAAAGAGGCTAATTCTTACGAAATTGAACGATATATTCATTGAATAATGATTGTTGTTCACGCGTTGGTAAGTTCAGACACGAATTCGGTGCGATTAGTTATAAAATTATGCATGGGCTGTTGAAAATTGTTCCTAGAGTTCCTAGAAAATTGATACAAATGCCTGCACTCTCATTTGTAACTGATAAGCGTCTTTTGGTGCCTAGAGCAATTGTCTTCAATGATATTTTCTTGATAGCATTCAAGCTGTACGTTACAAAATATAACAAATTGACGTACTTACCATCACAAACATAACTAATGTGACACATGGTGCTCACTAAATGTCAATCCAGAATTATGTAACGA